GATTGATAGATTAGATAGATAGATAGATTAGATAGATAGATAGATTAGATAGATAGATAGATAGATTAGATAGATAGATTAGATTAGATAGATAGATTAGATTAGATAGATTAGATTAGATAGATTAGATTAGATAGATTAGATTAGATAGATTAGATTAGATAGATTAGATTAGATAGATTAGATTAGATAGATTAGATTAGATAGATTAGATTAGATAGATTAGATTAGATAGATTAGATTAGATAGATTAGATTAGATAGATTAGATTAGATAGATTAGATTAGATAGATTAGATTAGATAGATTAGATTAGATAGATTAGATTAGATAGATTAGATTAGATAGATTAGATTAGATAGATTAGATTAGATAGATTAGATTAGATAGATTAGATTAGATAGATTAGATTAGATAGATTAGATTAGATAGATTAGATTAGATAGATTAGATTAGATAGATTAGATTAGATAGATTAGATTAGATAGATTAGATTAGATAGATTAGATAGATTAGATAGATTAGATAGATTAGATAGATTAGATAGATTAGATAGATTAGATTAGATAGATTAGATTAGATAGATTAGATTAGATAGATTAGATTAGATAGATTAGATTAGATAGATTAGATTAGATAGATTAGATTAGATAGATAGATTAGATAGATTAGATAGATAGATAGATAGATTAGATAAGATTAGATTAGATAGATTGATTAGATACGATAAAGATAGATAGATAGATAGAAGATAGATAGATAGATAGATAAGATAGATAGATAGATAGATAATAGATTAGATTAGATAGATTAGATTAGATAGATTAGATTAGATAGATTAGATTAGATAGATTAGATTAGATAGATTAGATTAGATAGATTAGATTAGATAGATTAGATTAGATAGATTAGATTAGATAGATTAGATTAGATAGATTAGATTAGATAGATTAGATTAGATAGATTAGATTAGATAGATTAGATTAGATAGATTAGATTAGATAGATTAGATTAGATAGATTAGATTAGATAGATTAGATTAGATAGATTAGATTAGATAGATTAGATTAGATAGATTAGATTAGATAGATTAGATTAGATAGATTAGATTAGATAGATAGATAGATAGATTAGATAGATAGATAGATAGATTAGATAGATTAGATTAGATAGATTAGATTAGATAGATTAGATTAGATAGATTAGATTAGATAGATTAGATTAGATAGATTAGATTAGATAGATTAGATTAGATAGATTAGATTAGATAGATTAGATTAGATAGATTAGATTAGATAGATTAGATTAGATAGATTAGATTAGATAGATTAGATTAGATAGATTAGATTAGATAGATTAGATAGATAGATAGATAGATAGATAGATAGATAGATAGATAGATAGATAGATAGATAGATAGATAGATAGATAGATAGATATAGATAGATAGATAGATAGATAGATAGATAGATAGATAGATAGATAGATTAGATAGATTAGATAGATAGATTAGATAGATAGATAGATAGATAGATAGATAGATAGATAGATAGATAGATAGATAGATAGATAGATAGATAGATAGATAGATAGATAGATAGATAGATAGATAGATAGATAGATAGATAGATAGATAGATAGATAGATAGATAGATAGATAGATAGATAGATAGATTAGATAGATAGATAGATTAGATAGATAGATAGATTAGATAGATAGATAGATAGATTAGATAGATAGATTAGATTAGATTAGATTAGATAGTTAGATAGAAGATAGATAGATGATTAGATAGATAGATTAGATTAGATTAGATTAGATAGATTAGATTAGATTAGATTAGATTAGATTAGATTAGATAGATTAGATTAGATAGATAGATAGATTAGATAGATAGATAGATTAGATAGATTAGATAGATTAGATTAGATAGATTAGATTAGATAGATAGATAGATAGATAGATTAGATTGATAGATAGATAGATGATAGATAGATTTAGATAGATAGATAAGATAGAGATTAGATAGAAGATAGAAGATAGATTAGATTAGAATAGATTAGATATATGATAGATTAGATATAGATTAGATTAGATAGAAGATAGATGTAGATTAGATTAGATTAGATAGATTAGATTAGATAGATTAGATTAGATTAGATTAGATTAGAATTAGATTAGATAGATAGATAGATTAGATAGATTAGATTAGATAGATTAGATTAGATAGATAGATTAGATTAGATAGATAGATAGATTAGATAGATTAGATTAGATTAGATAGATAGATAGATAGAATTAGATAGATAGATTAGATAGATTAGATTAGATTAGATTAGATTAGATAAGATAGATAGATAGATTAGAGATATTAGAATAGATAGAATAGATAGATTAGGAATTTAGATTATGAGATAGATAGATAGATAGATAGATAGATTAGATAGATAGATAGATAGATTTTTAGATTATAGATTAGATTAGATAGATAGATTAGATAGATAGATAGATAGATAGATTAGATAGATAGATTAGATAGATAGATAGATTAGATAGATAGATAGATAGATAGATTAGATAGATAGATAGATAGATAGATTAGATAGATAGATAGATAGATAGATTAGATAGATAGATAGATAGATAGATTAGATTATCTATAGATAGATAGATTAGATAGATTAGATAGATTAGATAGATTAGATAGATTAGATAGATTAGATAGATAGATTAGATAGATAGATTAGATAGATAGATTAGATAGATAGATTAGATAGATAGATTAGATAGATAGATTAGATAGATAGATTAGATAGATAGATTAGATAGATAGATAGATAGATATATTGATAGATAGAAATAGATAGATAGATAGAATTAGATAGGATAGATAGATAGATAGATAGATAGATAGATAGATAGATAGATAGATAGATTAGATAGATAGATTAGATAGATAGATTAGATAGATAGATTAGATAGATAGATTAGATAGATAGATTAGATAGATAGATTAGATAGATAGATTAGATAGATAGATTAGATAGATAGATTAGATAGATAGATTAGATAGATAGATTAGATAGATAGATTAGATAGATAGATTAGATAGATAGATTAGATAGATAGATTAGATAGATAGATTAGATAGATAGATTAGATAGATAGATTAGATAGATAGATTAGATAGATAGATTAGATAGATAGATTAGATAGATAGATTAGATAGATAGATTAGATAGATAGATTAGATAGATAGATTAGATAGATAGATTAGATAGATAGATTAGATAGATAGATTAGATAGATAGATTAGATAGATAGATTAGATAGATAGATTAGATAGATAGATAGATAGATAGATAGATAGATAGATAGATAGATAGATAGATAGATAGATAGATAGATAGATAGATAGATAGATAGATAGATAGATAGATAGATAGATAGATAGATTAGATAGATAGATTAGATAGATTAGATAGATTAGATAGAGATTTATAGATAGATAGATAGATTAGATAGATAGATTAGATTAGATAGATAGATTAGATAGATAGATAGATAGATTAGATAGATAGATAGATAGATAGATAGATAGATAGATAGATAGATAGATAGATAGATAGATAGATAGATAGATAGATAGATAGATAGATAGATAGATAGATAGATAGATAGATAGATAGATAGATAGATAGATAGATAGATAGATAGATAGATAGATAGATAGATAGATAGATAGATAGATAGATAGATAGATAGATAGATAGATAGATAGATAGATAGATAGATAGATAGATAGATAGATAGATAGATAGATAGATAGATAGATAGATAGATAGATAGATAGATAGATAGATAGATAGATAGATAGATAGATGAGCAAATACAAAAATTTTAACTTGAGGAAGATACTTGAAACTGATTGCTGCTTTTTTTTCCGGAATGGGAGGAAGGCGTAATGAAATCGAAATTTGTTCGATAAAAGATGCGTTAGACAATTCTTCATGCTTCTACTTCTTATCTTTTATTTTTTATCTTCATCTATCCTTAATAGCCAATACACCCTGTAATGAGCTGTCACCACATCGTTGCAACAATCATGTGTTATGCATATTTTTTGTATGTGTGTGTGTGTGTGTGTGTGTGTGTGTGTGTGTGTGTGTGTGTGTGTGTGTGTGTGTGTGTGTGTGTGTGTGTGTGTGTGTGTGTGTGTGTGTGTGTGTGTGTGTGTGTGTGTGTGTGTGTGTGTGTGTGTGTGTGTGTGTGTGTGTGTGTGTGTGTGTGTCTGTTGCAGGGATATCACAAGCGCTGAAACAAATATTAATTTTTAAATTCTTCTTTATTCAGTTCGTTACAAACGTTCGGATTTTTGGAGCAAATGAACGAGAAAAACTGTCTTGCATCATCTTCTATTGACTAAAATTGTTCTAAATCTCCAGTTTATTTTAAGATTGAATTTTTAACAATTGAAAGAAAAAAATAAGTTTTTTTAAGATGCTGAAAAATGATTGTTTTGCTTCATTTTTTTTTCAGAAAATGATAGGACGAAGTTCCAAAGTAATCAAAGTTGTTTTTTCTCTTGTGTAAAAAAGTATGGTGAACAGTGTTCCATATGCTTTCTACTTTCTTGTGTTATCGCATTAAATGACGCCGTCCTTTTTCACTGGCACCAAAGTCATTCTGCGTGATTTTGAATTATGGAACGTCACCTCTTACCATTTTTTTTTTTCTAAATATTTACAATATGTTGGACTTGTGAAAAATCATTGTTGATATTTAGTCTAACCCACTAATGCCTTCATTGATTTGATCGTGCAGTTTTGTACAAAAATCCAGAATACAAACTGTTTCGTCATATGATATTTCCATGGGCTACTATGATTCAGGATTTGTCTTCATCGGTGTTCAAGCTATTGCCATAAAGCAATAGTCTCTTTTAATTTTTGATTATTATACAACTAAAATGGTTCACTACCTGCTAATGATTTACAGGGATGACGAATCCATTTGACGCTGATGATTTGCTGAAAAGATCTATATTCAGTTCTATTCTTGGATTTAGTCGTAAGATAAAGAATTCAGGTTAGAGATTTTGTTGAAAAGCTTATCATATTTTGAAATAAATAAAAATGCTTTTTTGAACTTTTTGGTGTAAATCACTGATAAATTGTAGCTGTCAACATTACCAACCTTTATAGCAAAGGTAGAATCGGTGAAAGGTGAAAATGCTAATGGTTCGGCCACCAGCATAAATAATGATACTGCAGCACTGGGCGATTTAACTCCATATAATCCCAAATATCGCACAAAACAGGAAATATATAACGAAATTGTATGCGAATGTGCTGAACTGGAGAAAAATAAGGTTTTTTATAAGTTTCTTTAATTTAAGTCATATCTAGAATTTGAAACAACCAGGATTCAACATCGTTATGAAGGTGTAAGTCGTGAAAGTGCACATTTCTCGATACCCTAATTCGTTGCATCACGCACGATTTAATCACAGGTTGCATCAGCTCCGAGTTCAGTACGGATGAGATCCGTAGCATGTTCCACGAACGAGTTGATAGATACGGCAATAAATCCATGCAGTCCGCATTCGCCGCTGTCAACAGAGAACAATAATAAAACCATACAGAATTTAATTCAATTATTGGTGGCAGCTGTCAGGGAAAGCGGAATCCTCAATGATCAAAGTGGAACAAATTCATCAGAAGACATATTGAAGCGTAAAAGGCTACAGGTAGATTTTTCTATGAAGAAAGGAGTAATTACCGCATACAGTGGGTACTGTAGAAATTTGATAAACTTTCAGAAAACATACATTAACTGATTTCTAGATAAAGAAAACTACGTATATTATGAAAGTTCAAGAATGAAAAGGAAGAAGAGGGAGAAAACTGCTGCACTAATTAGTGAATACATATTTTTAATATATGGAAAATAAAATTTAATATGTATGAATTTAAACAACATCTATAATTAACATTTGTTTCATTGAAATTAGCTAGAAGAAATATTTTATTTGAAGTACATGTTTTATGAATATGTGAACTATGAGTCGTTTAATATATCTTTCAGTAGTGAAAGTCAAACAATTAGTTAAATGCAATGACGACGGCCCAAATTGCAGCTAACATCAGAAAATATCCCTGGAGTAATTTTTAGTCCTGTCTTCAACATGTCAACTTCGTCGAGCTGCTTACGTTTCTAATAGTACAGCTCCGAGATACTCTCTTTTCCTTGCACTCCTGTGTCTTTCAAACACGGAGTCAGTGAAATATAGGTGACAAATATTACAGAATATGGAGTCACAGTTTTCGTAACAATAAATTTAATTTAAAAAATAGGAAAATGCAAACTCGAAAGATGAATTCCTTTATCGGATGTGTGCTTAAGTTCGGACTTGGCAACACGTGATTTATTCTTAAAATATCTGCTGCATAACTGCACTGTTCAGAACAAGAAAGCAGCGATACGCTATCGAAAGCGACAAAAGGAGCTCAAAGAAGAGGCAGAATTGGAATTGACAATTCTTGTGAACAAAAATAATGAATTGAAAAACGAAATTAAGCGAATGCAAGCTGAAATCGATCAGTTGAAAGCACGGGTTTTAAAGAGAACCAGTGAGGAATCACAGTCTTTCCGCGAAACATAGATTTACACAACACTCAACTTCCAAAGTTATCGAAAAAAAATGGGTACTTCACCACTGCCTAACTTCTCTTGGCTCAAACTCCGTAATGAAAAGAATCTATAAGTCATAAGCCCTTCCCATTGTACCGTTTTAGTCTCTATAAGAGGCCTCTTGCCATTTTTGTTCACTTTTAATCTCATTTTTTATTTTGCAAAACATCTTTGTCATTCCTTAAGCCCACCTGAACTGGACTTGTACTGACGCTTTGAATTACTTGGAATTTGAAAAATGATTTTATTTACAAAATACACTGTGCAAAATACATTCAAATAATGAAGATGGTATAGCAAAACAGATATATGAGAAAGAGGACAGTTTTTCCAATAGAAGGAAATCTATTTCATAGAAGTGTATAAGCTCAATTTTCTTCACTTTGCAGCTCCAGACTCTCTTTCCCTTCATAAAAAGCTTGCATACCTGTACCAGATGTTTAGTATGTGAACAAATGAAGAACTTATGAGTATCGAATATAAAGAATTAAAAGGATTTTTGGGTAATCCGCAAATTTAATTGAAAATACACTTTCTTGCCAAAAATACAGCCATTTACTATAAATTGTTATAATAATCTATAAAAACTAACAAAAGGAAAAAGAAACTTGAACGAAGTGTACAAGACGAATAACTTTAAGTGACTGGAAGTATACCCAAATTTAAAAATATTTGAAGTATTCACAACGCAAAGAGATTATATGTAATATATCTAGTCATTTATACTTTACAAAAATTAGAACATACATATTTCTTTATAGTCATGAAACATTCCTAGAAATTTCAAAAAACTTTCTTCACATAATGCAACAGTAAAGGAAGTGATATAAAAAGATCGCAATCGATTCGTAAAAGAAAAGGACCTATGAGGACAAAGTGGTACAGAACATGTACAGAAAATAGGAAAACTGTGCACTGAGTTATCCATCGAACTATCAAAATTCATGCATCACTATCAAATTGGATCAATCATGATGTTCTCCATGATGAAACAAAACTAATGTCATATCTACAGAGAAGTTCAATTATTAAAGTACGGAAAAATAAATATAAGACTGTAGTAAATTATTGTCATTAGAAACAAAAATTTCGATTGAAGAAAATTGGAAAAAACCACAGGAAATGTTTTTTGATAAGCCAAAAACTTTTTAAATAGTACTTTCGACCTATAGAAATCCTTGTCTGCTTGTGAAGGATTGAAAAAATGTTCGTCTTACTTTCACATAAGGCATTCCATAGCTTTTCATTCATAATTAGATTGCCAGAGGGCGACAGTCGTATCACTGGAAATACAAGCACTGTAATCTTCTAAACTATGATTTAATTTAAAAGATATTTATTAATGCATTCCAGTTACAAAAGAAATGTAAAAGATATTTATTATTACATTTCAGTTACAAAAAAAATGTTTTTTGATAAAAAAGAAACATTTTTCTGATTAATGCGGTTTCATATCAATCAAATAAAGTGCATGTGGAAAAGGACTAATAACCAGTAATGAAAAGTAATAAAAATGACCTAGAAGCAGTAAAAAGGATGCCTGAATGAGTTGCCAATTCGTTGATCGCTTCTTCATGAGCATGGGAAATCTAAAAGCGCTAACAACCAAGTTCCCACTACTAGAAATTAAATAATCGCAATATAAATGAAATGAAGTTTACAGAAAAGTGAAGGTATGAAAAGACATAAAGCAAAACATGTAGAATGACCTGATCAACGAGACGTAATTTACGTGTACTTGTAATGTCCCACACTTTTACTCGACCCTCCTTACAAGCTGTAACTAATAAAGGCCTGTAAGCATCGATAATACACATGGATTGAATCCATTTATTGTGTGCCTGTAATTCGATATGGTCTCTTTTCATATCTTGCAATGAGAAACGCATAATGTCCTGCAAAAAAAGAAAACCATAGTTTTTTCAAAAATCATAAAACATATAGCAGAAAGCTCCAGACAGTCAAGTGGATAATAATTACCTTGACAGAAAACATAAACCTACCGCATTAAAAAAAAACAGGCAGTACACCGAGAATAACAGGAAAGGAATCCAATTAGTCTGATCACAAAATTAAACTAACCGTATCTCTAGAAGCAGAAAATACGGAATCACCATAAGCGACAATGGATGTAACGCAATCATAGTGGGCTGCCGAAAATTCATGAGAAGCTTCAAAAAGACCTAATCCATCAGCATTTATTTCATACATCTTGATATAGTGATCACGAGAACCAGTGAAAATTTTCGGTCTTATACCACCCAAAAATCCAAGGCATGACACCTCTGATCTAAATTCCGGTTATATGAAAAAATCAGTGCTCTCAACAAACCTGTGAAAGAAAATCATTCTCACTGTGATTTTGGATTTTTGGAAGGAATTTTATATTAGTGTTAAACCAAAATAGCAGTTCGAAAATGTTTAAATTCAATAATGACTACAGATTATTTGAGTGGTTAAAGTTGCCTCGAGCCATGAGTCGCTGCCGATAAGCGACCGAATGGTGCAAACTTTTCCAAATTCCAAATACGGACATCGCTGTTGAAGGTTGTAAACATAAGTCTGAAAAGAAAATACCGCAATAAAATTTACAAACCAATATTAATATTTCTCGTCTGTATTTTCTTCTCTGTAAATCTCAAAACTTTATTTACACTGCGTCGTTGTCCGCATCCACTGTATGAAAGAAAAACATTTCACTGTCAAACAACAAAAAAGTTATCACTTACTTCCCCGTGTTGTCCAGTTCTAGTGCATTGATCATCGTTTCGGAAATGGGTAATACAGTTTGTCGAGGTGTATTCGCAGCCATAGTATCACCTAAACAATATGAAAACTGAAGATGTAACTTTCGCGCAAAATACATAAAATAATCTAAAATTGTTAATGAAGTTTAACAACCAGTGAAAACTTATTTGAAGTGTATTAAAAATATATATTAAAACTTAGATTGAATTTTTACATACCTGCAGCAGCGAGACCTGACGAATGCAGAGTACGTACACACTCCTCATTTCTCAAATCCCAAATACGAACGAATGCCATGGATAAAGTCAAAGCTAACTGGCTGGAGGGAATGAAACGTACACATGAAACATTATTGGGATGGTGACCAAACGTACATTTCTCGACACTTTTTTCCAAATCCCATACTTTCGCTGTTCTGTCTTAAGATGTACTATAGATCAATATAATCTCAAACTTTTTTGAAAGCTTCCTGCTACGCTGACATTTTAATAAAGAAATCTAATTTCCAGCAAAAAATTTAACGTACACCTTTCACAATTACCAAACCTTTTGAGCCGCTGATTACCATATCACCATTAGTGTCTACCGAAAGTACTGTTCTAGTATGTCCATCCAAGGTGTGTGTCCGTATTAGTAAACGTGAACCTGTTACTTTATCACGAGTCCCTGTTAATGTCCGAGGAACATACGGTATTACACGGCCGGATCTTCTGAAAAAAGAAACAATATTTTAAAATTACAAAAAAAAAAAAAAAAAAAAAATGGATTCTACCCAGATTATACGATATAGCACGTATATGGCGAATGTAAATCCGAATTATAAACTACTCTCTTGAACATGCTTTTAAAAATTTGAAATGTAGACCTTCGGCTACCACGACCAGATGGCGACGACTCAGTGGAACCTCGATCATCCAATTCCAAATCCATCAATTTCGTTGTTTCATTTTTCGCTTCCATACCAACATTACTACTTACACTACTGAGTTCTAAAGGTCGTCCACCTTCAACAGAATGTTCCAGTGATCTCGCTTTCTCGATTAGCTGTTGGCTTACAGATGGAGTTTCTTCGTTGAGTTGCTCCAAACGCGTTTTATTAGTAACCTGACCTTGTAATGATTCCTTCAACGGATACAGTAATTCACTTGGTGTAGCTGTACGACGACGAATCTTGTGCACTGATGCAGGTGGTGATACTGCAGTAATCGCTTACTTTAACCAAAATGTTTTACATATCCTTCAATAATTAAATAAGAACATGATGCAAAAAATTACCTTCAAGTAATTCATCGCGTGAATCCTGTGCTATCTGATTTCCACTCGCCAGTGACCTAACTTCTTCACATTCTCGATATGGAGACGCATCCCTGCTACGATTTTGTTGTTCAGTATTCTTAATGGAGTAACTTCAGTTTCGGCTCAGGTTTTAGCACTATGAATTGCAGGCATTTTCTGCACTTTTTTGAAAATAAATATTCAAAATGCGCTCACAGGTCAAAGTGAATTTGGAAACAATTGAAAAATTTTTTCTATCCTAGTACTTCGAACCTCATGATTAAAGTGGAAGTCGTAGTAGAACATCAACAAATGATATTGGCATTACAACTGATGTGGTATATGTTGGAAATGGTTCTGAAGTTTGTAGGATAAAGAAGCAATGTACAACTCACTCTTTCAGCATCCTCCAATGCATGATTCAAAATTACATCACTTAAAATTGATTCGTTTTGCAGCTCTTGAATAAGTGATTCTGCTTCCTGAGAGCATCAATAAATATTGCGGTCTTAAGAAATAAACTGCAGGAAAAACCAATGCATAAGAATATTTCAGTAAAAAATATTCTCCAAGTAAAAATTAAAAAATATTTAACTGTTAGACTCTACGGGAAAGGATTCGTGATCGCATTCGTATTATATAAATAATTCACTATTCATTACCAACCAGACTTCGAAAGCAGGATCTTTCAGTATGAATACGCATGTTTTTAAGATGGAACTTTTAGACTCTGATTAGAAACTTTGAAATATGTTAAGAAATTGTGTGAAATCATGCGCAGTTAATATGAAATAATTATAAAACTATGAAGATACCCGCAAGACCTCAGAAACGTCTGCTTCTACAGTTGTTCAATGAATTATTAAAATCTATTGTTGCCATGAATATTGAACTAACACAAATACTTAACAGTCTGATATTTGTGACAAAAATAATATTTCCTTTGACTAGGAAAATAAAGCTTCCATCTTTAAAAAACAGTGCCAAAAAGAAGTGCAAAAAAGACTAGTCCCTTATCACTGGTAAAACCAGAACAAAAAAAAAAAAAAAATATTGTAGTTCAACAGAAAAACTAGCACAGTTCATTAAGAAGATTCCAATTTCAGAAAAACGAGATTTTCTCGTTCAGAAAAATATCCCAGATAAGTAAGTAGTCATTTGGTGTATCTCTATATTAATCATAGACAATTATTGCGGAGTGAAAAAATCATATTTTCAAAGAACTTAAAAGTTTGCACCAAATACTCCTGAGACAACTGCAGCTCAGTTGTTAAGCAGTAGTCATTTTAGTTCTTCAGTACTAGTACCACATTAAAGCTTAATGAGATTTTTTTTTTAAAGTAAGCCAAAATATTATGCTAGAATGATTACAGCTAAGTTTCCATGACTATCATTATTCTATAGTATGATGTTCCTAACCAGCCGTTCGAGTAGCCACAGTTCCCTTTCATGAAGGTTACGATCCTACTGATTCCTCCACACACATATATTCAAGACAAACACAAATCCACACATAGCGTAATTCGAGTGTTTCTTAGGAAAAATTCTAATAATATATTATTTTTGCAAGATAACGGCGAATTACCCGCAACTTTGGATGATCCCTCAACTAATGCGAACAAATTAAATACCAACCTTTTTATCACTAATAGCTTTAGCTGCAATAAATCCTTGTTCCAAACAAAAACCGAACAAATGGCTGAGAATAATTACTGCCTCACCAATCGACGAACAATTCTTAATTTCCGTTTCGGCATCACGACAAGCTTCCGCATCTTCCATCCCCGAATCCTACAAAGAAAACCTTAAATAAGAGCTTGTACAAAGATATTATGACCGTTAAACAAATAACTAAAATAAGAAAGTTCGGTATCCAAACTGTTCCAATTTAGAATCAAAGCAGTTCCGAAAAACTCTGTGAACACAACAATACATATGAACAAGTAATGAAATAAATATGGAGATGATTTAAAATAATTGGGATAAAGCAGTAGCAAATGCTCGCTCAAAATGGTACGTATAATATATTTATATACCTTTTTAGTTTAGTGTTACTTTCGAATTCATCAGAATTTAGCTTCATTGGAAGACCACTTTTTTCATCTTGATTTGTATAATTAAGAAACATAGTAAGAAAGCAATGGATATAGAGGATAAGTTCAACAAATGAAAGGTTGTTTTCAAGCTTATGGCCATTCATTGCATTTGGTTAGCTAGCGGTAAAACGAAGTTTCAAGAAGTGATCTCGAAACACTCATGACCTGAAGCATTTGCATAGGAAAAGTTTCAGACGGCATTGAACCAAACTCCCTTTTTACGAGTGACTGATTCTAAACATAACTGTACATGCGCAGTTTACGTCCTCCACCTCAAGTTTATGTTTCTCTATAATTACCGTTAACATTCTAAAATGAAATCATCTGCATATATTTTTTTCCCTTAAACTCGCTTCATTTTGTTACTAATTTTATTCTTCTTAAAATAAAAAATAATAATTGTGACAATAAAGCAGCAATGAGTAATAACTTTTTGTAGTAAATACAAAGAAGTAAGAAACACAGAAACCAAAAAGTCTTAATCGTTAGAGTGTTCTTTCTACGACTGATTTCGATTCCTTCTAATCTTTTTCTCATGAGGGTAATATGAGACTCATGAAATCGTGGCAATATGACATATGACATACTAAAGAAAACTGCATCGGAGATAAACGCTCAAAGTTTAATAACGAAAACAACACATATATTAGAAAATGAGCCGATTTCTAATTCTAATTGTGACATTAAAATACTGATAGTAAGATTTCTACCTCTTCAACTCGCTTAAATATTGTGAAAAATGGGCTTATTTAGTGCACAGTTAGGGGCGGTGTTTGAAATCATCTAATGAAGAAGTCTAATTTAAAAATTACTGCAGTAATTTGACTTGCTTTCATATTTTTCTTCTTCCCATTAGCTCGCGTTACCAAGTCAGCTAATTATAATTTCTTCAGTAGTATTCCCAATATTCTCGTTCAAATGTAATATGCTACACAACAATCATACCATTTCACCAAATTATTTCATCCTTACAGTTCATTCTTCTAAGTCGTTTTTGCAATACGTAAAAGAACTAACTGATAATCAATAAAACTTAGAATTAATCACAGTCACAAATAATTCCCCTTCTCTAACCGACAATAGTTTTAAGCGCTCTCCAACTGTTTTGGGCTTCCTTCTTCATTTCTGATGTCCGTGTTGCAACAACACCTTTCAAAACAGAAGAAAAAACCCTTTTTAAATTAAAAAGTTTTCGTATAAAATGAAATCATCGTAAAGAAATTCCACCTCATTTCGTACTCTTGTTTAGATACTTCATATATGTATTTGGCTGTAAATGGACATGATATTCTCAACAAAAAAAAAGTTTTCCAAATTAAAAAAAAGTCAACGATCCCTCATACTTCTGCAGTTTAGATTACATGGATTTTTTTTACAGCTTTCAGTGCTCGATTTTATGCTCATATTACCTCCTTCCTCATATTTCTTAATGAAAACTATTCATTAAAAACAAGGATATTAAGAGAAAAAATATTGATCGAAATACTTGAATATTAGCAGAATTTAGGTTTTTCCATTTCAAACCATTATTTCATCCTTAATAACTGTAATCTACTACAAAACTAAATGTGGCATCGAGTTGAAGTATTCTAGATTAGACAGGAAAATAATTTAAATAGGTAATTAGTACAATATTTAAGGCTTCGAAACCAAAATAAGTGCCGCCACTAGGGATGATCGAAGTAATCGGTTAAAAAGACATTATAAAACAGTTAAAAATAAAAAACAACTTCTGCCTGCACTTTAGAAATGTTTATATTTGACATTTGAAGATGTATGATTTTTTTTCTGTAGTCTAGAAAGTATTTATCGAACATTCCTTCCTTCTATGACATTCGCCCGTAAATTTTCAGCGAAAACTTTTACGAACTCGTCATTTGAATGTGTCACTTTATTGACACTTTATTCGCCAGCTTTACTTCAATTCTTTTCCAGTTGCAATTATTTGATACTGCGCATCCCTCAACCTTTTGCTACTAATTCCACGTTTACAGGGCTCAGCAATGGAAATGTCTATTTCAGTTAGTTCATATCACAGAAGAACCTATCAAAGTTTCGGAAAAAAGTCATGTTGACAGGGATGCCGAAAAGAAAGTGCAAAAATGTAGAAATGATAGACTGAATAGATGTAAGAGAATGTACATATTTTCACCATAAATTATTATCAATGACGTAACTTGATTCGCTGATAATTGTGTATCATTTTTCACAAACAGAAGTACTTCCATTCATTTCATTACATGAATGGGAAATGGCAACCTCGAGAACTGCAGTAATCAATAAAGGCAAATAAGGAGAAGGGAGCGGAGTGTAGGGGTGGTCTTTAATCGCTGTCAACTTTACTCGGACTGCTTGCTGATTGATGACCCAACACTTCAACTTTTTCGACCACATATTACATCGAGACAGAACGATATGTGAAACAAAGGAAACAAACCTCCCGAAAGTAACCGGCTGATATGAATATAAGTTGCTTTAACAAAGCACACCGAAGAGACAAGACAGGTAATGAATGGAATTCTGGGTTGTAATATTATAAAAGACACTGTTCAGGTGATGTGATTGATAACACAGAATTTCGTTTTCTCTAATGACCAGGATTTCCTTTGACAGCGCAGATTTGAAATACTGTATTTAAATTCAGGAATATTTAAAAGTAACAAATTCCTATTCACTCTTTTACGTTCATTTATTAATAAGCAATGAAATAAATACTTGTAAATAACAACAAATACGGTACTATTAAAACCCCTTAAAACTCCCTTGCACATAACGAATTCCACGGGTAATGTTAATTACTTACTCTAGCGAGTTTTTCTTCGACCAGCTTTCATCTAATTTGTTAACGAGTTTACAACAGTTAGCGGAAGTCTTTTCGGAATATTTCTTTATTCATCATTATAAAAGATACTTTTTTTTTTCGGTTCATCAAGTTACAAATAAATTCCAAGCTCACTGAATTGATAGGTTTAAGAAGTTGACTCATACGAGAATAATGAATAAGTTTCTATAACTAAAGGATATACTATAAATTATAAATATAAACAATCTATTATAAAAATGCAACAAACTATTATAAACAGAATTCTTGTTAACAACAAACCAATCAGAGTGCTGGAAGCAGCATTTCCTACTACTCCAGTTTAATTCTTTAACTTGCTGACCTATTCAGATAAAACACTGTATTTTTTAACCTACCTTCTCTACCTCTTCGTTTTCCTTATTTTACCAGCTAAAAAGTGTTTGACTAACACAATTTTTTACGCCTGAGGGATCAAATCTTTGTTTCCGATTATAGCACTCTCCTTCTTCAGTCCTCTTATAACCTCTTCTACATATCAGTTTCAAGTATCTCTCCTACCAACTGAAATAGGAAACTAATCAGATTTTTTAAAGGTTTATCGATCCGGCAATACTTTTCTATTTATGCTAAATGTAGCTTTCTAGATGTAAATAAATATACTCAAACAACAACAGTATCCCCTACTGTTATAGCGATATACTCAGAAAAACAATCAAATTATTTTTACTTTTACTAGCAAGATAAACGGAATTTTTGTTGCAAGTATCTAGAATTTTGGCTTCAATTAATGGGGCTTTCTAAAGCCGAAATTAAACGGACTTTCGAGTTGTGATGATCCATTTTAACTCATTTTGATGTGTCTTAGTACTATTTCGTTTAAAACTGAATTGATTTGGCTTTTGATTGACAAATTTCACCCTTCCGTTTTTTCTTTAATTTACTGAACTGAATCATTCGCAGTCTTCCCTAGCATTAATGAATTGTTGATGCAACTTCATTTCATTACTCATAGGGTTGAGATGGGTGTTTATGAAGTAACGCTTGCTGCTTCGTTTTTTCGTGGATTGGACATTGTGAAGTGGATTCCAATTGCTTCTAGGGAGGTGTGTATGCTAAACTCGTACGATGGCAGATTTAAAACATTAGTAATTCGTAGCTGTACTGAATAATGTTGGAATAAATTACTTAGCAATAATGCATGAGTTTCTTCCTCTTATTCCACAAATTTCGATCTGTTGGTTTTTCATTTAAAAAAAAAAAATGATTCTTTATTTCTTTAATTCTCTGATCTTCGGATTAAGCTGATACACTGTTAACGCAAATTTTCAGTAGTCAAAATCAAGAGACACTCACAAATTATAAAAAAAAAAAAAAAAAAAAAACAACTTCATTTATGACAAATATCAAACCTACACTGAATAATTTTGCCACTTCGTAATTATGATCTAGGATGACTTGACTTTTATATCCACAATGTTTTAGGGTTCTAAATAGAGGTTCGCTTATTTCCTCTAAAACCAGAAGATCAACAAATTTTCGGACAAAAAAGGGTTCTGCACATGAGAATTATTAAATGGCAGCCCAGTACATGTAACCTTCATATGGTTAAGGATTGACAGGGGAATTATATATATTAGCTTAAACACATGAGTCCAAAAATGAAAAGTGTACAACTGCCGTCAATACTAAGGTAAATCTGTTTAATAGGAAATATTTTGGAATTTTAATGAGAAATCAAACAAATTATGAAAAGCTGATTTCCGTGAAATAGACTACCTGTTGTTCAACTGATGAATTTTGATTTTAATAAAACAAGACCATTTTTGAAAGCAAAACATAAGAACCTATAAAGACGGAAAGAGAGTACTTAAATCACTCTTAAC